AAATTAAGGCTTTAAATTAGATTATGTATCTATCGATTATAAAATCTGTGATCTAACTATAATATGATATCTCGAGAAAGTCTTGATCTAATTATACACAAACCTAAAAAGATTATTTAAAGTTCTTGAGTATATGTTTATCTCAAATGTAAATTAGGTTAATTTTAATCCTAAGTTTCTTAAGAAACAAACAAATTGAGATTCCCTTTTGTCAAAGGCGAATTCCAAAATCTAAACACATACTAAAGTTGGCCATCCAATGGCATAAGATCAAAATAAATTATATTAAACATTAAAGTATCTATCAAAATAAATAACTAAAAAAAAAATCTACCTACAATTCCTAAAAATAACAGAAAACTAGCCACTCATGGCTTTAAATATACATTCAAATTCAATAGAAAGATTAAAAAGCATAAAGAAGAATAGGAGAACTTCACAATATCTATTCAAGAACAGCTTAGTTATCTCTCAAATATTTAAGAACACCTCTTAAACCTTATTTTAAGCTTCCAAATTGCCTTCTCAATTTCATATATATACTTCCATCCTTTTAAAAGTTTGTCAAGGCTTTATTTATAAAATTTTCATCCTCATTTGGCCTTTAATTTTCTTCCTATCTCACCTAATTTAATAAGATTTAGTTTAGTTCGCACCTAGATCTCAAATTAAAGTATGCCAAGTGTCTACTCTCACATTCACCCATGGTTGTGCCCATGTTTAAGCGTGGTCGAGCGTTGTAGGGCCCATATCCATGACCTCCTTCGTCGTGAGTCGAGCCTAAAGATGTCCCCGCATTGTCGCGTTTCCTTCATGCCGTATCCGTTCTTGAACGTGCTTCTAGTAGATAATTTCTTCATACTTGGTTACATCCATGCGCGGAGAGCTTCTCTTCTTTACTTGTCAGTGAGCGAACAATTGTTTTTGGGCCTGTTTTTTGAGTTTTGAGCGGGTCCTTTACATTTTCGGCCTTTGTTTTTGCTCCTTGTTTTTTTTTCTGAAAATGCTTCAAAATCACTAAGTGAGATATTATTATATCTAAATTTCTATCAATTTACACATTAATGAATAAATAAAAGAGCAGAATATATATATATATATATATATTAATTTAGGTAAAATATCTCCTTATCAATGATAAAATTCAAAAGCAAATATAAATGTGTAATGCCCAAAAAGAATATGAATTTTATGATAAATATTTTTGTTTCTAATTTATTTTTTTAAGAAGAAATATTAAACTTAAAATTATAATTTTAAAAGAGAATTAAGGATTATTTTTATCCTGAACTATACATGAAAGGTCATAAATGTCCTTAAAATTAGCAATTTTATCTTATAACTTTAAATATTCTTTTTCTCATCACCCTACAATTTTCTCATTATCAATGAGCCCTACATTATATTTTTTTAATATTTTTTATTATAAAATATTTGAGTTGAGGGGCATAAATGACCCTTAACTTGATAAAAAAAATATTAAAAAATAATAAGACCCACTGATGACTAACAAACATTAAACGTTTTTAATATCAGGGTGATGATGGAGGAAATCTTTAAAGTTGAAGGATAGAATTGATCTATAGTTAAGTTTAAAGGTATTTGTAACCTTTCATATATAGTTCAGGGATAAAAATGATCATTAACCCATTTTAAAAACAAGTATATATGTGTAATTAAGTATTATTTATGCATTGTAAAGATATAAAATAAATTAATAAATTACAAAATATTAAATTCTATAAAACTAAAATAAATTGATAGCTTATAACATATTAAATTCGGAACTTTTTTAAGGTGCCTCGTGTAATTTACAAGTGATGTCAAAAGTGTAAAAGCTCTTTTTTTTTTTTTGAACTTCAATTTAAATGGATTTATGGATAAAAGATCTTTCAAAAATTTTTTTGTAGCCAAACATTATTCCAGACTTTCCAATTTTTAAAACCCAAACTGCGATTGGGACTTTCAACTCTCAAACCTCTAATTTGATCTTATGATCTTATCCAAACATACCTTCATCGGGTGCGTACTGCTTTTCTATCTTATTACTTGATCCATCCATAATTATAAAATAATTTTAGAAAAATTTTGTTGTCTTAAAATATAAGATAATTTATGAAAAATAAAGTTTCATTAATAATATTTTTTAATATTATCTTTTAAATAAAAAGAGAATTAAAATGATATTGCAGGTAATTATTAAGTTTGTAAAGATATTTTTTAAAGATTATAATTTAGTTTTGAAAAATAAATTTGTTTCGAACTATAATTTGAAGCAAAGAAATACCAAACCACCAAACGTGGGCTGAATCAAGCGGGAGGGACGAGACGTGAATTGATGCCGCAAGTGTTCCTTGCCGACTCAGCTGTGTTTAGGTGCTTATCCCAACAGCATGATTGGCTGACTCTTACCTGCCATTTTCCATTTCAAGATACGGTTAGGCGACATGCCCGGCACGCAAATACGAACCCCATGCAACACGATTCTTTTTTTCTTTAGAAAAATATCAACCAAACGACCACTGTAGTATACCTCCTCCGATTTTATATATAAAATTATTTTTACCAACATCATCAATATTAATACAATAAAAATAAAAAGAATAAAAATTAGTAAAATTTCAAACAAAACTCTTAAAAAATAAATAAACTATATAATATTATTTTTTATCTCTCTTTCTTACTTTTAAAGGATAGTTTAAATATTTCATTTAAAATAAAACATCACTGTCACTCTTAGAATAATGTTTAAGGATAGTTTGTTAATTTTGAATATATTATTGTTAAAACCTAAATAACTAATTGTTTATACTGGTGTTTTCATTAAACATGTGTTTTCAATAATTAACAAGTATCTATTCGGGTTTTCACAATAATACATTTAAAATTAACCAGTATTAATTCTAGCTTTAAGAAGTTAAAAAACATATAAGATTGGCTTAATTATACAAGTGTTTTTCCTTCATCAATAAGTATATATTTAAGTTTTTACAACAATGTATTCAAAATTAACAACAATTCATTTGTATTTAACAAATCAGAAAAATGAATAGAATGACTTTAACTGTATAAATGTTAGTCTTTCATCAACAAATATTCATTCAAGCTTTAATAACAACTCATTTAAAATTAATAATGATTTAATTGAATTTTAACAAGTTAAAAAAATGAATAGGATAAGCTTAATATTACAAGTGTTAGTCCTTTATGAACAAGTATTCATTCGAGTTTTAACAACAACTCGTTTAAAATTAATAATAATTCATTCAAGTTTTGACTAAAAGTTGATAAAATGAGCTTAATTATACAAGTATTAGTTATTTATCAGCAAATGTCCATTCACGTTTTGGTAACAACCATTTCATGATTAACAATATATTTAAACTTTAACAAGTAAAATACACGAAGTTTTAAAGCTTTTAATTTATAATTGACCATGTCAAATTAATAACTAGCATTAATAAAATAACAAGTGCCACTTTAAAATCAATAACACATTGTTATGCTATAACATGAAGTGATTTAAAAACTTGATTACTACACACACACACACACATTTTGATATTTATTATTAAATGGGCTTAGTAGTTTAGTGGCCACCAAGCTTTTCAAATGGCTAAAGGGTTATGGGAGTAAACCATCCCTTGGCCACTTTTGCCAATTAAAAAATAAAAATGTCATCAACATCAGAACTCTCATGACTGGCCGTCAGTGACCTTGCCAATTGCAAGGTCTCCAATGAGTGCGCCTGTTTTTAATTATTTTATATTTTAAAGACAATTTGGTCATTTCACAAAAAATTAATATTAGTCAAAGATTAAGGGATTGTAATAAAATTCAAAATCTATTGATCATTTATTGATATAAATATATTACAAAGGTCCTTGGTTGATAGTTTTCCATTTTCTTTATTTTGTTCGGAAAACAAAACAATTATACACACACATATATATTATAAAAAAATTTAAAAGCATAATATAATTTTTAATCTTCATTTTTTAAAAAATTATGGATTTAATTCAAAAATTTTGATTCATTATAACTTAATAGTCATCAAGCTACTAAAAACTGAACTAATCATTAAACCGATCAAAATCAAGAATCAAAAGTTCAATCGGAATCAAAGTGAGGATCAACCCAGAGTCGATCATAATAAATAAAAGTATATTTTAAAAATTTTTTAATTTAATTTTTAAATAGACTGAATATTTTAATATTGTATGAATAATTAAAAACATACTTAAAGTAACAAAATCAGAGACTAAAATGGTAAATGGATTTGATTTTTTTATTCTCATAAAAAATTATATAACTTTTTATTTTATTAACATGAGTATACGTCAGTTTTGAAATTTAAATTATTTTCCTTTTCCTTTTTTTATTTTACCTAAAATTATAACTATTTATCATATCCTAAGTCCTTAACCTTGCCTAGCAGCCTACACATCCTATCCTGTCACAAACTCAATTTCACGTGATTGGCCATCTCATCTTTTGGCCTTTCTCCTCCTCCTCCAACTTCTCGTTTTCTCGGCTGAAAGTGAAAAAAAATTCTGGCGGCATTTTTGAGCTGTTCACATCTCCATCTCTAATTCTTTCAACAGCATTTCTCCTTCCCAAATTCAAGTCATCGTGGTTGAAACAAAAGTGCGAAAGCTGAAAAGGCTAAAAATAAGGTTTGAATTATCGCTCATTTTTTGTCTCATGTTCTTTCTTTCTTTCATCTCCTTTCCTCTTCATCCGAGGGTGTGGCAGAGAACGTCGTCTGATCTGAGCCTGAGTGTTTTTTTTTCCCTTAATTTTCCTGATACCCCCAAAGGGTGTTGGAGCTAAAAAAAATTTAACATGAGCTAGGCAAGTTAATCCCAAATCACCTGGGTTAACTAACTACTAATGAATTCATAAAACTAGACCAAACACATGACCAATTCGCCAGTTCACTAGTCTGATTGGCTAGTCTAGCCTGATTTTACAAACCATGATAATCATAGTCTACTAAGTGAAAAAACTATAAGTTATATTAAATTAAAAATATATAAGAATTGAATCATACAGAGCAATAAAATATAAAAATTAAGTTGTTTTCAATATATATATATATATATATATTGAATTGTTTGAAGTTAAAATTTAAGAATTAAATTAATAATTCTCAGACGAAAAAATTATATTTTTCGAACCTAAATACATGCAACTTGACTAGCTAAAGTTGGCATTTAACAACTCCAGCGCAGCAACACGATCCCATCATTCTCCCCTCCCTTCCACTCCTTTCTACAAAGTCAACCCACCAATTATCAGACCCAAAGGCCGAACCGAAACCACAATCGAATCAATCGATCATTCATTCGAGTATTGACAACGGTTGGCCAGCACTAAATGAATCCCGTCCTTGACCTTGACTATCAGGTGAACTTGCTTGAAAACAAAGGAAATACAAATATTACTAGACAACAACTATGCTTAAAATGGTAAATGGGTGGGTTAATGTAGTGTCACAAGAAGTAGCCCGGAAATCTTGTGCCGATGAAGTACCCCTACCAAAAAGCCCCCCCCAAAAAAAAAAGCCTTATGCCACCGAATCCCTCCACGTTATTCCCAAAAATTATGGAGAAATAAAGGCTTGATAGCGATGATAAATTAGTCGAGGTTGGCAATGACAGCCTCGACAACATCCTGGGTAGTGCTGTCGCCACCGAGATCTTTGGTGCGGAATTTGCCCTCCGATATGACATGCTTCACAGCAGTCTCAAGACGGTCGGCAAAAGAAGGGAACTGAAGATGCCGCAGCATCATGGCCGAAGACAGCAGCAAAGCCACTGGATTAGCCCTCTTTTGCTCCACTAAGTTCTCATTCCCCACATTCCCCGCTGAAGCGCCTTGCTCAAACACTGCATGTTCCGCCCCCACGTTTCCTGAGGTCACCCGCAATGTTTCATTAGTTTTGAACCCCTCATCCTGCCACAACTATTCCACACACCACCAAGTTTACACTTTGAACGATCGTTTCTTTTCCGTATTTATTCCTCTTTTTGAGTAACAATTTTCTTAAGCACCATTAGCTTACCATGTGCCAAGATGATTTCAACACAAGGGGAAAAAACAAGCCGAATAATTTAGTTATATGATTCCACTTAAATTCAATCTGGTCTGTATTATATCAATTTTTTAATTCTCTCTCTCTCTCTCTCTCTCTATATTATATACCCATATCTTACATTTTAAAAATTACTGTATTATGTTTTGCTTATTGGATTGTGTCTTATCCAGTATGTATATTTTTATCCGTGTCTCCTAGTCTCTTAATTCATCCATCGTTGTTGTCTTTTCTCTAGTAGGGTCATTTAGCACTTCGCTCCATGCAAGCGAGATCCATATCACTTAACTGAATCATCTAACAGGCCGAAGAAACAAAATTAGATGACATCTAGAAGCAGCAACTCAGGCGGTGGTTGTATTGAAAAAAGCACATGTAATAATTACGTATGAAAGTATTATTACCTCCGGGCATGACACCGGTGCCTCCAGCAATACCTGCTGCTGTGTTTGCGACCAGATTGCCGTAAAGATTAGGCGTCACCTGCAAAATATTCAAACTCTCTCAGGATTCAGGAATCGCTAGAAAAGTCAAATGTTACGGTAATAAAAGGTAGGGTTGATGTCATGATCGTTATGAAAACAGTGCAAGCTACCATAACGGCAGTAATCCCAGAAAATATAATTTCAGCCCGAACAAAAAGTCCGACTAAAGCAATCAACAGCGAAAGAAACCTCTACCCTGGCAGAAAAAAAAAATATTTGGCGCCTAGATGATAGCATGAAGAAGACATAGGGTTGAATTGTGTTCAATCCCGATGGACAGACCAACAGACATGCCAAGAGATCAAAGGCCAGGAAAACAAGCAAGATAATAAAAACAATGTATAGTCAATTCGGCCAAGTTTGATATAATATTTGCCATGACTGATGTTAATCCCAGAATCGAAAACAAGCAAGATAATAACAAATGCATAGTTAATTCGACCAAGTTTGATATAATGTTTTCCATGACTAATGTTAATCCCAGAATCGGCAAAGGGACCACAACATGACGATCAAATTCTTAAATCAATTTTTTATATTGCAGGCATTAAAATAATGCACATAGTATGACTCTGTTGACACCAAAAATTTACTGAAACCTGTCAAAATAGGAATCATGCATACTTGTGACAACATCTGCAATAGATGAATCAATAATAGATGTTTCCATCAGAAGAGAAAAAGTCATGAACAAAAACAAATGAGAGAATGATGGTTAAGTCTCAAAAGATTGAATTAATGACAGTTAGGTCATTGATAAAATTTTCTGAAAAATGAATCGAAAATATTGATAAAAGCAATTACAAATTCAAGAGTTTCAATTATAGATAAGACATTTAAGTTTCAAATGTTACTCTTAGATTGTAATTGTATTATTGTTTGTAAATGCTTGAATTAATATTTGCAACTCTTTTTTTTTTTTAAATTTTTGTCAGAGACTTAATTGTCATTAATTCAATCTTTCAGGACTTAACTGTCATTCTTCCAAAACAAATCTGACTGTCACGTACCATTACATCAAATTGCTCAGGTTTTGAGACAAGTTGCATACAGCAATTGTCCACAATAATTTCATTGTACTTGATACTAGGATATTTTGTTGCAACCTCACGGCAAGATTCTAAAAACAGACCATCTGCAAGTTTCATGATGTTGGCTTTATGAACAGCTGTGACTTTCTTCCTGTTGTTTAGGTAAGCATACTCAAAGGCATACTTTGCTATACGTTCTGAGCAGAACTTTGTGATCACCTAGCAATGAGAAATAAATGTGCAGCCAAAATCAAAAGTACACGATGTTTCAAACAAAAGGAAGCATCGTTATCAAATTAATACCAAAACAAGCTAATCAAAAGCTTCCCATCAAACAAAGATGTACCCATCCACTTTTAAACCAGAACATTTAAAAAAGAATAGACTATAAAGAAAGTAACGTACTTTAATGGGGCTTTCACTCCAAATCCTACCACTTGAAACAGGATGTAACTACTACACACCAACAATATGCACAACAAATTTCCACTTTGATACAGAAGCAAAAAGATAAAACTGTAAAAGCCTAAAAGGCATTTCTTCTCATGGGAATGTAAACCATTTATAGCCATTGAGAGAAAAAAAAAGAGCTCAGTAATTATGGAAGAATTAAAAAGAAACAGAAAAACTTCGTTATTTAGATTGTATGGCATACTGTTACCCTAGCACTCTGTATTTCACACGTCATAACACTGGACATGCTTAATAGTATAAAACTTATTTATATCAGTATATGTAACTGAATCTTAAAATAACAATACACAGAAAGACCACAACGTTTCATTTTAAAAACGAGGAGCAAAAACTTCATGCCAACCAATTATGGTTTAGTTACAAAACTGGTACATGAATTCTAAAGTATGTGGGAGCACTATGTTATGTATATTAATACAAACTTTCAAAATATCTAATATCCAAATGCATTAAATGTGATAATAAATTAACTATATTTTTGAATTCAGTGCTCATAGGCTATTTATAATTCCCTAAGGAAACACAAAATGCAAAGAGATGCTGGCCATATAAAAAAAAGGGGCAGGGGGGTAAGGGTTCTCCGCCCTCTTCACCAGCCAGATGCTGCCAACTAACTAGAGGCAGGGGAGGCTGGTTGCCCTTCCCACACAAATGAAGGAGAAAAGGAAAACAATATTCTCTGAAGTGCTCAGAAAGTATCCACGCCATGAATTAAGGTTACCATACATTGAGCTTTGTCAATATAGGGATAGCCTGATGCACAAAGCTATCCCTTATATACAGGTCCATGGAAGGTTGAACACACTCTCTGTACACAACCTTACCCTGCATTTTCTGCAAGAGGCTGTTTCCACAACTCGAATTTCTGATCACTAGGTCATACAGCTGCTTTACCACTAAGCCAAAGCTCCCTCCTTGACTCCTTGTGAATATTGAAGAGAAAAGGCACAGTGCCAAATTGTGCACAAAAATATTAATGTGGAATTGCAAGCACCTTATTGCGCATGTTGATCATGCTCTGCATTAACAACACTGCAATACTAATGTTGCATTGGTACAAGGGTCAGACTGCCCAACCCCTAAGCAAATGCAGGTTTAGAGAATGACTATCAGGCATCATTATTTTAATACAGAACTAACCCCAATGCGGGATGGCATGGATATTGTTATTTGTCAGTAATACTCTATGCAGTTCTTTATTTCACTGATTTAGCACGTCTCACCATACTCATTGGAGCTGAAAAGCTACTTATTTTCCAAAATTGTGTTTGTTTCAAGATCTAAATGTGTAGAGCCAAATTTCTGCGGAAAAAGAACCTCTTAGCAATTTTTTCCACAGTGGAAAGGAAACAATAGCAGAAGAGTGCGTGTGTGTGTATTTAAGATCATGGTACCTCCAATGAAAAACCATTATTTCCCATAACTAGCCTTAATTTTTTACTGAGCCAACAAAGTCAAATGTGCACAAGAAAATGTAATTTGATACTTAAAAAAGCTTTTTCTTTTGAGACATTTGCCAAACGTAAAACTTCTTCTCATATTGGATAAAAGCGCTTATCAAATGATTTTACCAAACATGAACTTCTAGACAAATCTTATTCTGAAACTCCATTTACAAACAAATTGTTTCAAAATAACCAGAAATCTGTGGCAATTATTAATGGGTCCACTTGAAAGGAAATAACTAAAGTAGAAATGTGAAATAACCTATTTGAAAGAATCATTTCTAGCCGAACAAAGTATAAAAGAAAAATACTTTTCCACCACATCATCAGTTCATCACTTCATAAGTTCCGAGCAGTCGATAAGAAATTATATGTTTCTCATATGCAGGAAGGGAGAAGTTAACACTAGAAGGAACAACTTGATTACATTTTCCCTTGGAGCTTGATTCGGTATTATTAAATCATTTAACAAAGCATAGCCTTTTAAGTTCAAATATAACTAATCAATGTATCAAACCAAACGAAAATCCTGAATTTCATAAATAATTACAAAAAATAACACAACAAACCAATGGAGTAATTCATCTGGAAATTAAGTAGATAAGGAGACCAAATGGACTTCAAAACGATGAAATTCAGGCATGATAAAAACTTACTACACAGTGATTACTGATCAGAGATTGAATTCAGAAGAATGGAAACAAGAAGTGTACCTTAAGGCTCTCAACAACGCCAGGAACCACCTCGTGCTCGAGACCGGAGTACTCTCCTTCCGTATTTTCTCTAATCACAACGATGTCCACGCTCTCATGTCTTGTAGGTAAACCAGGCAAGTTGAAGCAATTTACAAGTGAAGCGTATAAATCAAGCTCCTTTCTCAGCTGCACATTGAGCGAACTGACTCCACCTCCTACCGGAGTCCTTAGGCCGCCCTTCAAGCATACCTTGTTCTTTCGGATCGAATCTATTACCTCCTGCGGCACCCGCTTCATGTCACCGTGGACCTCGTAGCGCTCAAAGTAAACCGGAGAGTGCATCGCCTCCATGACTTGCTCGACGGCGTTGGTGACAAGAGGGCCAATACCGTCACCGGGTATCAGCGTGACAGCTCTCGGGGCTCCGTCACCAGGTCGTGGCATGTAGGTGACGGACCGGGAAACGGGTTCGGGTCTAGGTCCCCTTATTGTTGGACGGCTGGTAAGGTGCCTCAGGATTGGTATTATTCTTCTGGCCATGAAAGTAATGGATTTTGCGCAACGCACTGATACAAAAAAGAAAAACAAATGCAGAACGGGGGATGGAACGAGGGAGAAGAGCAGTGGAAGAAAGAAGAAAGCACGAGGCTTGATTGAAATTATTTTTATTTTATTATTTTAATAGTTATTTTTATTTTATTATTTTAAGAGTTGATGATGTATAAAACATATTTTGAAAGTGAAAAAAAAATATTTCTTAATTTTTTTTATTCTTTAAAATAATAATCCAGCTGAAAGTTAGTTGTATGTTATTATTTTTTAGAATAATATTTTATTTTTTCATTCTTTAACACACTTTTTAGAAGTACTTTGTTAAATAATTTTTTATTTTTTTAAAAAAACAAAAAATTATTTTCAAAACAAATTATTAAATAGGCTTTAAGTTTATGTGACAGCCTCGTTTAGTCCCTTTACTTACAAGTAGCATTTCTTGTCTTCACACATCTAAAAATGCCAATTTAAGACCAAAAATTATTCTTTTAAGTAGCTAAAAATCTTTGCCTAAAATCATTGTTGGGAATCACTTTTTTCTCACCGGAGCCCTCCACAAACATGCATGCATGTCACGCATAACAATCGAAGAGAACATGAAGAGAAGAGTCCAAGTTGTAATGTTATCCCTAACATTACCAAACACACAGAACACCAAACACGAAACACTGTTAGGATAACTTGGATTAATTAAATTTCAAGAAAAGAGTTATCATAATATAAGAGTTATAAAAAGATTAAAAAGTCGAGATTCCAAGAAAAATCCTTTTTAAGTGAGTTTGAGTTCAAACTAAAGTTAAAAACAATTTAAACATGATAACAGAAACATAGAAACTAAAACAACACTTGAAAGCAAACAAGAAAATCTAAAAAATTTTCAGAATTTGGCCCGTCCGCCACGACATAAGCCTTACCTGCCGCGATGGAAGGCACAAAGAGACTTGTCCCTTACTGTGTGTTGTGCCACGGTGCAACTGTCATGCGCCACGACACACGCCTACTGTCATAATAGCAGATGATAGCACTCCAAACTAACTCCCGAAACATGCCGTTTTGCCATTTGATGTCCAATTTAAATGGTTCAAATGTCCACACGTTACTTTACAAGTCTTCTAGCTATTGGCATTAGTCTCATATCCAAATAATGAACTATTAAAAAGTTGGACGACCAAACCCAAAATAATTCATTTTCAAACCACAGTACACTTAAGGGTGTCTAAACCTCACAACCTAGTGCCAATAGCCCTTGGACTACTTGGACCAACTTAAATGTACTACAAACAACCTATTCATACATTCTTACAACCACAATAATATTCCAGACACAGATTAGCCATCTAAACCACAATTTAGCATAACTCCAAAAAGTAGTAATAACCATACAATAATCATCCAAATGGCTATACCAACATATAATCCAACACAAAATAACACTTGCATTAGTATCTCGACCTCTCACAGTTATTTCAACACAAATGCAACATCCTAGGCTGAGATATCCACAGTTTACAACATAATTCATGTAAATACTTCTCAAAATAACATATGATTTTTAAGTTGGCATATGTATATATCATTCATTACAAAATCAAAAGAAATAAAAAGGATTGTACAAACACTAGCTATAATCCCCTCAATGCTCGATCACAACTTCCTTCCCTTTGCTCCTATCGAAGCCTCCATCTATAAAAATGTAACCATAGGGTGAGTCAAGAACTCCGTAACTAAATAATCTAACCAAACTACTCGTGTGTGAGAACGAATAGTGCGTATGTAAAGTGGCATTTAAAACGCATAGCAAGCTACATAAACATATATATAGTTATAGAATGATATGCATGATCCATACCACCTTACACCCTTCTTATATCTTTCGATTGAATCTGTGGGCTGATAACTCAATAGAACTAAATCTATGTGCCTAGATTGGCTCAAGCTCACTATTCGTAAGAGGCAGCCCCGACTAAGAGCGCCTTTGCTTACTATAGACCACAAATTCCCCTTGCTCTCAAATGCTAGGGTTGTCACTTGTCAATGCCCAATCTATTTCACATACTACTAAGACTTCCAAATAATATAATACTAAGTACTGAGGCCTTCATGGTGCTAGTGTATCATATAGATTTCAAAACAATATCCCTAACAACATACTAAGGTGAACTCCCACCCTCTCATAATGATCATACCAAACATATGTTTAATGATTTCACATGGCCATAATATACAAACAATTTAATTATTTCCACACATATCCGTAACAAGTAAGTTTCCATTAACACTGTAGAATTTTACAAATAATTATACTTAAATATAACGTTTAGTCTTCTAAATCCACAAAATTCAAAACATAATTTTTATTCCACTTCACATAAGGTTTCTAAATCATAATCATTTTATATTAATACTATACTAGTACAAAATAAAAGCATTAGCTTTAAAAGAAATCACAAAACCATCCAAAAACGCAATTAGAGAATTTAGACAATTTGACCACCTCAACTCTTTTATCACTAAAAAGGTTACTATGGTCAAACAATAGCTCCACACGTGTCCACTATCACGAAATGCTTCATAAACAATTTATTTACAAGATTAAATTTTTAATCATCAATCTACACACTAATTACTTCATTTTTAACATAATTTCGGGTACCTATTATACCTAAAACCTTAATTTAACCCTATCAATTCTCCCAATACACTTCATTAATTTTATCTAACACCCAACCACATGAATAACTCCAAATCTCTATCCACATTGCTTCGAAACTCTCAAATTTCCACCTAGGGTACGTCCAAACCTTAGCCAAAAATTTCAAATCACTATATAATCCATAAACCTAGGTTTAGAGGCTTGATGTAACTCCTCAAGACCTTAACTAAGGTAATTGGTTCGGTCATTACCCAAGAAACACAAAATCATAACCCCATAATACCTTAATCCTCAGAAAATTCGCATAGAGGGAAAGGAAGAGGTGTAGAAAGCTTATCCAAAGACAAATCTTACTCTAAATGCTTCCAAATTGCTCTAAAAATTGAGCCTTAACAGCCCCAGGTCGCTATCCATTACTTTCTCACATTTACTCTTATCCCACTTCTAATTTTTGGTTTGATTTGCAAAACTGATAAGTGTAAATTTTCATATGCGCCACGGCACATGGCACATAGAGTCCCATACATGTTTTGAACATCTCCCATGCCACAGCCTGCTCAAACTCTGACCTAGTCCTCTTCTAAGGTTGTACAATGATCTAATAACTTCATTAATTACAAATTCACTTAAATTTACCAAAATATCCTTCTAAACATCGAAAACTCTCAAAATTGAAAGCTAGGATGTTACACAAGTCCTCTAAGAGAAGAAACTCATAATCATGGTCATGCATAGTCTCATGCGAAGAGATAAAGAGTCAAAGTTGCAACTCACATCTTACATTGAAAATCGTCTCATGATTTACATCAGAAATCATCTTGCCTGGAGAATCCAATAGAATTACATTATTTTCAATTCTCTTATTACCGTCAACCTAACCAAAACACCAACCCCCAAGCATTCATTGTATTTTTTCTTCTAATAGTAAAAGGTATTTTGATCCATTCATTCCATCCTTTTTTGGATATTAAAATGAGTATGGCCCTTAAAATTGAGTTGGTCATTGATCACAATTTGCATCCCAAGAAGTTCTTTTTTAGCAATTTTCTCTAAAACAATTGTATTAAGGTAAACATTTAAAAAATAATATTAATGGATAAAAATTAAAAAAAATAATAATTAAAATTTAAAGTTAATTGTTAAATTTGTTAAAAAAAATTCTTTATTCCATCAATCACTTTTTATAACAAGATTCTCAAAAGTAGATTGGATTATCCCATTGGATTGGTTAGATATAGAACCAATCAAGAAGCCGGTCTAGAACTCAGCTAGAATTGGTGTGACTGAGAATTGGTGGCGAGTCGGCTGAACCAATAACAAACCAAAAAGTACTGGTCACAATTTTTTAAATTTTTTAAAAAATTAATTAACGTTTTGTGGTATAACTTATATGTTTTTTTTTTTTTTACCTAACTAGCATTGGGAAATGAATAATGCACATATGGCAAAAAATTTAACGTATTGTAAAACTAAAATTATAATATATGTGTGTGTGTAAAATATGAAGTACTAATAGACCTTCTTTATTATTTTAATAATATATTATTAAAATTATATTAATTTATTAATAATTGATTCCACTATCAATCGCAACTATAAACTAGTGTCTTGATAAAATGGTTAATCTGATTTTTATACCATTACTTAAGATTCCCTGAGTTATTGGGTTGCAAAAATTGAGCATGATAAGCTGAAAATTTCCGGAAGGCATAGAAATTGATTATGGAAAAGTAATTAAAAGAAAAGGGTGGAAAAAGAGACTTTCCCATTTTTGTAATGATAGTCCATCTAATATATTCCCTTTAATCCTAATTACAAGGTAAATTTAATTAATTTTACAGTTTTTTTAAAAAGGATTAAAGTGCTTTTTTTTTTTGTACTTTTCTTTGAGGAGCATTAGGTATCATGTACTAATAAACGGGACATTTTTTTCTTGAATCATTTTCTAGATGAGCTAAAATCCCCATCATTAGTAATTCATTAACTCTTTCATTTTTCGTTTGTTGATGTTGCATATTTTTTTATACTAATTTATTTCTAATTTTTTTTTTAAAAGTCTTGGACATTTTAAAATTTTGTTAAAATAAAATTTACTAAATATTATTAAAATATTTAACTTTTTAATATTTAATTTTAAATTTTATCATTTATATATATTCATAAAAAATTATAAGTTATTTTTTAAATATTAATAACTCAAACTAGTTTTTCAAAAAATCAATAATAATTAAGTCCTTTAAATATTTTAGGTTACTTTCTATAATTTTTTTGATTAACTAATGGTCTTCCTTCGAAATATTGCACCATTCAGATTTAATATTTTGATATTTTGTAACTTTGTAGTAGAAAGGAGGAAATGAACCTCCAAAGAAATGGAAAAAATTAATATTGTCTTGTTAAATTTGTAACATATTTCAA